ATCCCTCTCATCCCTTGCCATTGCCGCCCGCGACTAGACGGTGATCATTAAGGGAAATAACCACATCAAGGCAGTCTCAGGCATCATGCATCTGCACTCCATGGCTGTGGCTTGTTTCGTATGTAATGACTGACAAATTCTTGAGAAGCCCCTGTTCCTTTGACGCCCTCTGTACAAAGGAGGAGCCGCCAAACTCAGCCGTGGCATCTCGGCAAACATCGAGGCAGCTTGCCGGTTGTATCGACGTTCTAGCGTTTTCACAAACATACATGACTGCTCTTGCATGCGGAGCTACGGCACGCACTCCCTGCTCGTTCGTGTGAGGTACAAAAAGGGCCAATGATTTTTCTGACGACCGTCAAAGTTCTCGACTTCGTGGCAGGCCAAAGAGAGTTTTTGTGGCAGCCGTCTTCAATAGTTGTTGCAAGTGGCTGGCAGTAGTCCTGGACGCGAGCAGCTCAGCTTCCCTCGACGAATAGTAATGGGGCCCATGAGACCTTGAAAGGGAAATCTTCCGGCCCCTTGTGGATACATGCTTTGATCAATCGTACGACTGGACTCCAGGAGGTTTCGGATTGACCAAAGGTACCGTCTCCAAATTTGTCCTCCACTCCTCTTCGTAGTCTCCAGAAGCTGATGGAGATTGTGATCAATCGGCAACATGTCTGAAAGTCCATGCACCCCTGACAGGAATGCTCAGCACATAGTTGAGGGACTGAGGCAGCCCCCACCAGCAAGGAGGTATCAGGAGCTCAAAGACAAGAAAGGTCCCTAGAGCTCAACGGGCAATAATCATGGCGCCAATATCAGATTTGGTACACCGGGTGTTGCCCCGACTTGGTTGAACGTCCAGCCCGGAGCATGGCATGCAGATTCAATTGGAGCTATCCAACAGCAGGAAGCGTCGAAGGTTGGTGTCCAATGGCGGCTTCTGGCAAAGTTGGACGAACGGCAGATGTCTCCATAGTAGTGACTCTATTATTGCACGCTGTCCCCCAAAAACACCAGTTTGGAAATTTCTTGCTCAATTGTGCTAGTCACTCGGCAAAGCTGGGCCGAGGGCTGCTCTGTTGAGCTTTTGGGTCTTTGGGTTGCTATTGTGCAAGCATTTATGTACAAATGACAAAGTGTGTGGAGAGCTGCTGGTGAGGAATCTGAGATTCACACTGGCTGGGCCTTTCTCGTAAGCACTTTCGCGATAAGGTGGATGATGATGGACCAACCCAGCACAGGTCTTGTTAATCTGTTGTGTACCTATACTGATTTCAATTCGCTCCACAAGTCAGCTCCAACATAGTCGTAATACAACTTGTAAAGTCCACAGCTGTTCCCTACGCCCTCGGCGTAGAATCCTTTGAGTAATCCCAACCTCAGTCGTCCAGGCTCACTTCAGCAAGCCTGAGAAGTGCTGCATATGGGGTTGAGGCCAGAAAAAGACGCCATTGACAAGGAGAAGCGACGAGAGCTGGCGAAGTGTGAGAAATTGGGTTCACACCTGAGGCGAAGGATCCAGTTGAGACAGTGATCGACTCTTCCCCTGGTGGAGATTGATGGACTTGAATGGAGCCACATGTGTAGGGAACAATCCTCCCAGGAATAATGACTAAACACATCGGTGTCTGTTCAGGAGAGAAACTTTCACTTGCCAGGATCTAATCTCAATAGCTGGCCTTGAGCATGGTACTGCAACCTGAGGTCTGACGACCCGCCAAGCCAGAAGGATGAGGTCGGCCGCATGAACGTACCTCAGCTGTCCCATAGTATACTCGGTACAGACTTACTGACCTGATCCTTTGTCACCCTTCTCCTTTCTGGCACAAGCACAAGCACCAGCCACAAAGTCGTTGTGGCGGGGGCTTGAGAGAGTTAGGTGCCATAGCTTTGTGCACGAAGGACCATGGGGATCGGGGGCGGAACAGGGCTGAGAATAGTGTTAGTTGTTAGCGAGATCAGTTGACGACCCAATGCTCCAGTTGCATTGTTGGCAGTCCCTAAACCATTGCCTTGTGTTGATTGGCTGTGAAGTTTGGTAACTTTGGAAGTGTCGCTGGAAGTGGTAGAAAATGTGTTATACCAGCGTTACCACCCTGGTGATGGGACCTTGGTCATCAGTCATTACACGAGCCGGGGGTTAATTCTGATGATTTACCCGAGTCACCGAATAAATCTGGTAAGACTCTCGTGCTTTCCGTGAGCAGGGCGACGCCGACCCCTGTGTTATGCTGATGATAGTGGCGACTTGATATGTGTCGTAGCATACTCAAGCAGGTGTAGATAGACCCGCATCGTGTACACATATCCTTGTATCTCGGGTATCCTGTCCAGCCACCGACTGAAATCGAGTGGCGGACGCCATCATTGACGTCGCTCGGAGCTTCTATTGCAGATCCGATAGAAACAGGATGCGCAACGATGATTTCCAGGTTCTCGAGAGGCTCAGGCAGGCAGACAGGATAATCCTAGATTCAGGCGTGATCTCGCTGCGCCTAAAACCCGTTAAATGCGGATGCTAGCAGCCTAAACCGCACAAGGGAAAACATGACCGGCCATATTATTTGTCCCGGGGAAAGGGCGAGACTGACGTTTGCCACTGGCGCGGTGAAGGAGTGGCGGACAGTCATGACAGGAGAGCCGGTATTCTCGATGCTGGGACATCGGTTGTAGACGATGCCCTCTAAAGGGACCAGCTGCGGAGAAGAGTGTTAGTGCAAGAGAGACGGTATCCATCAGATTGCATTGGAGCGTTTCCCTCAGTAGGGAACCGCAGGACAACACTTGTTTAGCAAGATGAAGGATCAGTCTGAGGAGTGAGGCTGCATGTTACATGGGATGCCATCGAGACTCTGGGGGCCGAGGACGTTGTGGTAGCTTTGAGCCGTTGAAAAAAGACTGGATGCGGAAAGGCTTGGGCGCTGCAGCTGAAGTGGGATTAGGGCCATGGAAACAAACAAGAGAGCGAGCAAGAGGGTTACTGAAGAGGACCATGTAGCAGGACATACAAAGCCACTCATCCGATTGTGACATGACAATTGATGACAAGAGAAGAGAAGCGAGCGACAAGGGAAGCGCGGCAAGCCAAGTGACAGGGGGGAGGGCAAGCCATCCGAGCCGGGGATGGGAAGCGGTACTCAGTGACTCGGCGGAATGAAGCTGTGGGTGTCGCCCCGTACCTGTACTCCAAGTGTAGCTGTAGAGGGCCTTGAATTCGGTGGTGCCCACTACCTGAGGCGCCGTGCTAGGCGCCTAAGATAGATGATGGGGAGGTGCCTGTAGTGTCATGATGCTGTGGTCAGTGAGCGTGAGCAGCTGCATGACCTCACCCATTAACCCTGGAGAATTGCCTACCTACATAGTACCTACTTAACCTATAAAGGTAGGAAGGTAACTCGTACCTTGGTACCTGGAGACCTCTTGCCGGTGCCTGGTCCCTGGTCCCTGGCACATGTGGACTCTCCCTAAAACCCTAGCAGAAGTTCCCTGGGCGCTCCCTGGTCGATCTCTGGGTGGGTGTTGGTGGATACGTTCCCGGGGCCGAAATCCCGGCTTATCAAGCCACGATTTGAGGAACTGTGTCCCAATACCCACAGCACCGTCAGCCTCGCCTCTGGCCGCCCCCCTGCTTGTCTTCCCTTGGTTAACTAACCCCCCAATTACCACTTCCTCGTTGGCGGGACTTTGGCTAGCACAAAAATCACCGAGGCACTTCTACCTTACTGGCTCGTGCTTGTGGTGGTGGTGGTGTGCAACCTATCTAGGTTGTCAACCAACTCGGGCACCTGCTGAGTTGCCTGCGACTCTGCACTCTTGCTGGTGCAAAGCTGACACCAACATCCAAACCCACCCTCCCACAAAGTCGTACATCTGCATGAAAACTTCACCTCGCACCGACACATGCGCAACACACCTCCTTCCGCCGAGTCATATGCCCCTCACTCCCTTCCCCCCTCTATGCTCGGTATAGGTTGTTTCTTTCCCAAGGGTCAAAGAGGTGGATATCTTTGTCCTAACCTAATATAGATGCAGCCAGCCAAGCGATCTGTTTCCCTTCGGGCAACTCGTTGACCCAGTCGCCGATCCAGTCGCCATGATCTGTTGCTCAAGCGGGCTGCACGTTCCCTCTTAGAGCAAGCCTCAACCCACGGGCCATGCCGACCACTCGTACAGCCTGTGGCCCAGTCCTCTCTTGTCAGTAGTCGTTCGGTTGGTCCTCACATCCTGTATTTGGAGCCTCGTCCAGTGCTCATGTTCCAGCACTGCTTGTGGTACACATGAATCCTTTCTCTCGAGTCTGCTCCCTCGATTGTGACTGGCTTTGATCTCAAAGCGTTCTCGATACTTTTACACGCCTCATGAAATATAAAGAGCCGGAAAAATGGAGAGTCGCTTCTGGAAGGCAAAGATTGAAATGCTGCTCTCGCCTAAACCAAGAGACGGGTCTCCGCTTCTGAAGTTATACGACGTAGCATTGCAGCAGCAGCCGCCCCCAGACACCCTCCCCAAAAAAACCGCTGCAAAGTATCATTGAAACCTCCCGCATCGGGAGCCAGAGACTCATGCTTTTTGCCAGACAAAAAAGAATCCAAATCAATCACAGATCTTGCACCGCTGTGGATCAACATTGCTCCCCTTCCCAATCCCTCCCAAGCAACCAGTGTCCAGACGCCGTGGCCGGAGCATGCGCTCATTTTTCCTTGTCGTCGCCGCCTCCGTTGCCGTTCCCTTAAGCAAGTGTTCATCTGGCCGTAACTTGACGTGCAACGGATGTCATTTCTCGACCTGTTCCTACCTCCACCACTTGCTCATTGAATGCTTGAAGTCGTATCGTCGTCATCGCCATGCCATCCTAATAATGAAATTCAAATAATCAAGATTCCTTTTTCGCTCGGTTCGAACTCTCACCCTCGGGCCTTCCTTTGCACTTGCCGCCCGACATGTGGCCATTTCTAGCCGTGGTTCTTGTAAACTCCGTGCCACAGTGTGGGCAAACAGCTTTGACCGCGCTACCACTTTTCTCTCTTTGGTGGCGTAGCAAGTTCGAAAAGGTCGAGAACTGGCGTCCATTGCATCCGTGGTCCCAGCACTGTGGTTTTGGTCTAGATGGCATGATCTCAATTTCCGCGGGAGAAGATTCCAAAGTGAGTGGCACTGGTGGGAAGGGTTGCATCGCCATCCCAATTGAAGGCAGTGGTTGTTGGCTATGCTGCGGCTGACCGTGCATGTACAAAGCATTTGGCGACTCGGGTGGGGGTAGGCTCAATGCTGAGCCATGAGAAGTTGTGCGGCCCACTGGGTAGAATGTGTGGGCTTCCGTTTCATTCTGGTGCAGCGGATATTCAGAAGTGGTGTCTTGTTGCGCCGTTGGTGGTGGAGCAGCGGATCCGAAATAACCACTCTGGTGCGCGAAGTTGTTGATGGGAGGAGACATATTGTACGGAGGCATATTGTACATCTGGGGCATTGTCGACCCGCTTTGTGATGGCATAGCAGCCATTGACGGCAGGGACTGCGTCTGGTGTAACTGATTTTGTTCAGTAGCATAAGCCAGCAGCATGTCACTTCGACTATGACTGCGACCGCGAGAGAGGCTGGGCCTGTGGTGCCGAATGGGAGTTCGGTCACGAAGTGCTGGCGCGCTCATTGCCGCCTGCGGTGAATGGGACGAACGTCTGCGATATGACACATCGGAGCTGACTGAAGGTTGAGATACCATCAAAAGTGGCTGTGGTGGGGGTTCAGAGGTGTAGGCAGCGTTGCCAGGTGGCAGACTGTCAAAATCTAACCTCCTGATCAGCAAACAGTAACGTAGTCTAAAGTGCGCAGCGGTAACGCTTACTCTGAAAAGAATGGAGCATCTCGTTCCCGTATGGCAAGTGGTTGGGGAATTGCGACGAGGGCGTAGGAAGAACTTGAGCAGCCATTCTATGAGGTATACATGTCAGTCAACCCCATAACTCGATCGATTCAATGGACGTTACGAACCCTTGTCGTTGTAGCGTATACTGCGACAGTCCGGTAGACTGCAATTCTGCTGAAGTCGGTTGTTGTTGGTTCGATGTCCAAGAGAATTGATGGGTTGGGTAGGAAAAGGGTTCTGTGCGTTGCCGCTCCTCCTGATGCGGTTGTAACCCCGTTTTGGTCAGTATTGACGACCTGGCGTGGTCTTGTCCTCCTTGAAAAGTGCCGACACGGCCACTTCCTTGACCACTTGCGGCGGGGAGTCGATTCTCGCTGTATGTGGCGCTCTGAGTGTGGCTGGATGAACGCTCCGAGGCCGAGGGCGAAGCCGACAAGAGGGAGGGAGTGGACTGGCACGAGTTGTGGTACGCAATATTGACTGAGGCTACAACCGAGCCTGCAGGAGCAAGCTCGATATATCTTGAATATTCTTTCTTTGTAGTCGAGGACCGATCGACGAAGTTCTGGAAGATAGGGAACGGAAAGTTGGCGGTCACTGACTGTCCAAAAAACGCCGGGCCCGCTCCGATAAATAATATCTCGAAATAGGTGCTGCTTTATCCCCGCGGTGGAAAAGGGTCCGCGCAGATTCTGTTGGAGGCAAGTCTGCGTAATGACGATATTCAGTGATTGGCCAGTCTTAGGGTATCGGAATTGCCTTTAGGCACGGCACGTTGAAAGCAGATGAGAGGTGCTTGCTGATGACCGGATCTTGTGAGGTTGAGGGGGTTGCTGATGCCTTCGACTCGGGGATATCCTCGACGGATAAACTCTTTGAAAGTATCACGCCTCTCCCCCCTTTAGCGCAGCCCTACAGTCCCCTTTGTACGTTGCTCATATGGCCAAAGAACGTTTTGATCCTATTTGGGGGCCTGAGCGATCCCGGGCGCGGCAAATGGAGGTGTGGCTCGAGGGGAGGGGGGTTGTCAGGGAGCCGTGTCGCCCACGCCACGTTTTAAGCAGATGGAGACAGGGAGAACTGGGATGGATCAAGCCAGAGCTGAAGATGACGGATAACCGTTTGAAGACAATGTCGAAAACGGGGGGGGCCAGGCGGTTGTTCACATTGGGTAGCCAGCAACGAGGATCAGATGTAAGAGTAGGTTGGTGGTGGAAAGGTCTATTGCCAGGCCAGGTCGGGCGGATCCTGACCCGCGATCATGAGTCCAGGGAAAATCAGATACCCTCAAGCCTAGCTTTAGAGATCCAGGGGAGGTGCTTGCTGCGAAGAATCAAAGAGGACTGTGCGGCGCTCAGCACGGTAAGAAACCGCGCTCTCAGGTACGTGTTGGGGGGGAAAAGCGCTCGAGGGAGATCGTGGAGCGACTGTACATGGGCCCAAAGCCCAATGCCGGTTCACCAGCATAGCCCACTCGCCGACGCCCATGGAGAGCGGAGCGACCTCAGCCACGGTCAGCACTGCTTACTTACATAACTCACCAAAAGACGTCTCCAGTGGGGCCAGTTTAGTAGTGTTGTGGAAACCTGGGAGGGCTGCAAGAATGCTCTTTGTTTCGAGAGTAACACGCACTTTGAGCGGTAATAAGATGCGGTAGTGCGTAATCAAGTACCAGCCTTTTGAAATGACAGAAACGATGGTATATACGGAGATCCGTGTACCCATGGAGAACGTGTCATCAGAAACCGCCCGTTCATCCAGCACTGGGGAAATAACTGTAGGAGGTGAGCAATAAGCAGGCAAGGCAGGTAAGCAGAGGGGTGGTGGCCACCATCCTGCCTCCACTAACAACCAGCCTGGTGGGATAGTACTGGGAAATAATGTTGCAAAAGGGTACCTCTCTGTAGAGTGGGTGTCTGATCCCCGGGTTCGGCCGCTTTGTGGCCTATCAGCCTCGACCAAGGCCACAAAACACTTCTCAGAGGTCCCAGCACGACATTTGCTTCATCGGGCAGGTGGCATGGGTTGTGCTGGTTGAGATATGATTTTCATCGACTTCTACGCTGTGTGATTTTTAGCAATTGAAACTTAGCTCACTCCATTTTTCAAGAGGCAGACGGTTGAATGGTGTCTCTCTTGGTTCCTCCTCTTCCTCGTCAACCCTCCTCCAGAGGCTGGTGGCCAACCTCTGAGCGTTCCTCCCCAGCACCAAAACATTTGGCCGGGAAAACAAAGCAGCTCTTCAAGGCACACTAACGTAGCTTAACGGCGCAGGGACGCCAGAGTCGACTCGTCCGGAGGGTAATAGTAATACGCACAACCACCTCCGTCCTCCGTACCAGATGGCTGATTTCTCAAAGGTCTGACAGGGCCCTACTTGGCTCCAACGGGGACCGAGTAGGCGGGTGGCAAGGCTAAATTACGGGAGTCGAGCTTGGAAAGACGGCCTTGACGGATCGACTGCTAGTGGAGGACAAGTTGCGAGGTGGTTGGTGGATGAGCACAGATGGCGAGATCAGTGGTGAGCACGAAGGGCACCATCCGAGCGAGGGAGAGAAAAGGGAAGCAGGGGAGCAAGGTGGGAGAGTCCGTATTAAATTCGCCCCCACGATGCCCAGCAAATGCCCCAAATGACCAACTGTCAAGATGCATCAGAAAGAATAATGCAACAGAAGCTGGCAACATTAATCTTGCAGGTCTTTGTGCTGGACCCGATAGGCCACCTCGTCTTGGGTCGCTCTCGTTTCTCTTTCCGTTTCTTCTCCTAGTCACCCATGGGACCCTTGTGCCTCTCGTTCTTTCGCTCGTCACTAAACCCCAATAACGCCCCCTGTCTGTGGTTCTGTAAACGGGCGAATTCAAATGCACGTCCATGATGCAACCAACCCTCACATCGCTCGACACCCGTTAAGTGGTAACCCTAACCTCTTGGACCTCACGCTAATCATTTCGCCTTCATACACAGGCCATGATGCTGATCTGGAGATTGCGATAGGGCCAATCCGCAACAATCATCCACATCACTGTTACTTCTTTCAGCCAGACACTATGTCAGTGACCAAACAAAGTCTAGGATACGAGTAATTGTCGGCCGTTTTGAATCAGCGCCTCCGTCCTCCACTCTCTGTTGCGGCTGAGGAGCATGGGAAAAGAGATTGACCCAAAAGCACATCTTGAAGAGGGCGAGTAACCGATAGGTCGGTACTTGCAGGGTCAACAGCCACAATCCTCAGCCTCTCGGCATGGCCCATTGACATCTCAAGGTCGACCCTGAGCACGGCGCTACACCTATGTACGAGCATTCCCTCCGTTGACATTGAGCTTCTCAAGCTCTCAAGCTCTCAAGTTCTCATATCTTGTTACCTATGAGACTGAACCTGCCGTACCTGGTCCTCTGAAATCGCCCTTGAACCCCCTCGGAAGCTATAGAATCCAACAAATCCAAATCCTCGATCCTTGCGGAGTGCCGGAGTTCGACATTACAGCGGACTCGTGTGTCGCAGTTTCCTAGCTCACCAGCCACAACTAGACCCCAAACGCCACACTCTAGAAGAAGTACCAAAAGCCTCAGGATCCTGGATCGACCGCTTCGCCTAGGGCAGTCCTTTCCAAGGGTGTCATGTGCAGCAGCTGGCGGGTGATTCAGCCTCATCTCGATGTACGAGTAATTGTAGGCCAGGAATCTGTGGCTTGAATCCTTTCGGTTGTTCATGTGGCTGTTAGTCGACGCGATGGATTCACCAGCCACTTACCCCGTGCTTCAGGTACATTTTGGCCCTCAGGACTATACGGGTAGGCTCCAGCTCTGCGAGCTAGGAATGCTCGGGATCTACTCGTATTTCCTAGTAACCACAACTCGGAGTAATAATATGCGAAACGTTTGGATGCAAATCCACAAGCTGATCAACGACGGAGCCGCTTGTGATCCCCGAACTATTCATCTATCCAGTCACAAATGCATGAACGGAGTATTCACTCTCTCACACCTATCATTTACAGATAGATGCGACTGGCCTAAATACTGGCGCGTCATGCCCCTTGTTACTTTCATTCAGCCATATCCATTGTCAATGGGACACCTCGTTCAATGATGGGGCGGGCACTCTCCAGGTCAATCAAGCAAATATCAAAACGAAGCTCTCACAAGGGTCAATTCTCATCACCCAGCTGGCCCCCATTGTTCTCCCGAGATTGGACATGACACGAAACCAGTCAAACCTCTGTTCGTCATTACGCCACGCAGTGCTGGAGATTCAGCCGCACGTTGGTTTTCCGAGCGCCTTTACAGTCGTGGAGAGATCGGCACTCGCATAAGTGGGTTTTGGCGCAGGGCTGCTGGCTGGCTGGCTGGCTGGACATCGTGGTAACCACTGGGACGATGCGACAAGGTTGACATCGGAGATACACTACCATCCCACCGGCCGGAGCATTTTCGCCCGAAACGCGAAATGATGGTGGTTTACATCGCAACCTCGTTCTGCGACCCGAAGACTTGCGTTCTTCACGATGAGATGACAGATTGATGTTTTCCTGCCGCGTTTTGATTCTGGACTTTGGTGTGACTACTGCATGCACAATGACCAGGCTATAACGTGAAATGGCATTAGCATGATCATCTGACCCCATTTTGTACCAGTTGATGGACAGGCGCATCTTCAAATAACATGAATAAAGAAAAGCAAGCTTGATCTTTCTCTTCCAGTAGCCGCATTTGTCTTGCCAGTCATGGCCACCATGCCTGTCTTTTCCTACAAGGGAACAATGTATGCAGCTTCTACCGAAAGCTTTCGACAATCGAGTTCGGATTTATCCCAGTAACGATCAGACAGTCCCAAACTCCAGGATGTATCTATCCGGAAATGTTCGTCATGTTTAGGGGTTTCGGTGGATGACACGCAGACTTCGAGATAATAATCATGTGCCGACAGGACAAGACTCATCTAGCCAAACGAGGAAGCACTCGTGTAACGTCCAGCAGTCCGGAACAAAATCGGGGTTTCTTCTCGTATAGCCAGCCCTGCCAGCTTTCGGGAGTCTGGGTTAGCCAGTAAAACTGGCGACTGTGCAGGTGCGAACAGTGCAGTGCGAAGACGTAAACCCGAGGGGCTTCCGGAGTTGTTACATATTGAATAGTCAGAATCTCATCCAAAGTGAAACTATTGACAATGGCATGGTTATAAGTTGTTCAAACAGGCAGCCTGGTGGCCGGATGATTTGTTTTCTCTGACTTTTCTCCAACTACAGTGCCCGACAGTGGTCGTCATCGGCCACTTGACTGCTGGCCTCGGGTGCAAACCCTCAGTGGCCCTTTGTCGATGCCACGTTTGCACCTTTTCTAGCCTCCTTCAGCCACTCAAATACTCCAACCTGTCCTTATAGAGCGGTCGCCTGCCTCTACCGCAATCGCAAGGGGACAAGGCGCCAGGAGTTTGGTCTCCCGTTAAAAGCTCTCCAAACCCTCCTGGAGGCGGGGCAGGTTTCGTCGCTTTCTTCCCACTCTCGCCCTCGCCAGCTGTCTGCCTCCTCGATTACCATTCACCTCTTTCAACACAGCGCTGCGCAGAACGACTGTGAAATAGAAAATGGCCTCCTTCCTCGAAGAGCTCTGGAATTCCATCTTTACGCCCGGTCCGACACCTACACTCCTTGTTGCTACGAATGCCGCGTTTGCCGCCCTGCAACTCCTCCTTCTGATCCTGCTCATTGCGACCTATTCCCTACACTTTTTGGTATTATCCGTTCTGTGCGGCGGCCTCTGGTATTCCATCAACTGGTTCGCTACTGAAATCGCGAAAGAACAACAAGCGCAAAAGGCAAAAGAGAAGAAAGAAAAGAGCCCGGAGCCAGATAACGCGAGTGATACCGAAACAGAAGGGCCACTGCCGAGTGCGCCAGCTGCTGACCCGGTAAAATCTACAACGACAGCATTGGTGCGCAGCCAGAGTCCGAGACACGAGAGGCCGAAAGACAGTCCAACAACTCTCCTCGAGCCAAAGATGGCAGAGAGTACAGAGTTGCTGAGGCGTCGGCGCAGCCTAGGCGAGAGCTCAGGCTATGTCAGCACCGACAGCGAGTGGGAGAAGGTATCCGAAGGAGAAGAGAAGAGCAAGTGAACCGGCGGATTTTCTTGCTGGCTTCTGGCATCATCACTGGGAAGATCTTCCGGCTTTCTCCCATGACCGAAATAGAAACAGGAAAGAGATGAAAGAGGGCTCCTTTCCGCCAGACCACCATCTTCGTCCAATGCACCCATTTACTCGATTTCCCCGTCACCCGCGATCATTCCTTGTGATACCCGGAGAGCATAGGAGATAGTGTCAAGATACCCAGATGAAAGAAATGAAATGCTTCCATGTCCGAGTTACACCGATACAATCAAATCGCGGGGATGGCAATCCTTCACAGAATGCCCCGCACACAGTATGCATTGCTCGAGGGATCATGACTTGTCGTAGCCGAATAAAGTCGCGCCCTCATAGACTGCTAGATTTCTCATTCTGTTGCGGCGTCTCCAGAGCCTGAATGACGTGCTCTACTAAGTAACTCGTACGTAGCGACGAGTTCTTTTGTCGGAGGAGCTGTGACAAGGGAGGCCCTTACATACATGTACTTCCTGCATGCGACAAGGGGATAGCAGCCTGCGTCGGCATGACCCGCCAAATCTAAGTTCCGCCGCCGAAAACCCAATTGTTGACCAGGCTTCGACCTCCTCTATCTTGGTTCGCTCAGCCTCGACTTTGTGACTCTATATTGGTGGCATTGTCATCAGTGACTCAAGGTTTCCTCTGTCCGCTATACATAGGACTGCCTCCCCTACATGCTATGACTGTTACTAACTCTCCGAAACTGCCATCATAAGACCATCCTACCTCCTCCAGCCTTCAGTCCTGCACGCAGCTGAACTCATCGCAACAATGGTTGTTCGCCTCTCCCAACTTCTCTACTACTCTCACACTGTCACCCGATCTTTATCCCGGTCCTCGTTTCGTTTACCATTAACACGGCGTATTGCGTGAAACAACTGAAGAAAAAGAGAAGGATATAGACGTTCACATCATGGCTTCCATCTTTACCTACCAGGATGAGCCTCCTCGAATACATTCTCCTTGGTCCACTCCAGGAAGTTCTACTCCTCAGCCACTTCATCACTCGCGTGAACATCTTTACAGTGGCGGGGCCTATGTCACATATGCGCTCATGAAGCTGGAGCCAGAACGCCAGGACGGTCCTACAGAGTACAAACTTCACCTCCTCCTTCGTCCTAGGCGGAAATTCCTCTCCACGACTACCTCATCCTCCACCCCTGGGTCACAGCACTATACGCCCATATTTCAAGCCGCCATTGAATCGAGTCGCTCCCTGGGTGACTCTCTGTTCGATCGTCCGCTATCACAGCCTTCGGCACAGACTCGTCAGACCAGACTACAACAATTGACCACACAGCTCTTATGGAGATTACAACAGTCTTCACCCTTCCATTCTTCATCAAACGCAGACCTGGTTCTGCCGCTGCTTCCTGAAGCGACTCCAAGATTGGGAGTTCCAGAACGTCCAGCAAAGCTGCTGCCAGGTCTCGAAGAAAGCCAGGGCGCCCTCTATGAAATCGGTGTGGCCGATGATGGCATGCTAGCAGGCTTAGTCGAAGATGAGTTACAAGAGAGTCTAACCAATTTAAAAGCCATGGCCGCAAGCCTCGGCTGTACCACCAATATACTGCGGAAAGTTCCAGTCGGAGCGTGCGAGTGGGTTGACAGCGATAGTGAAACCGGCCACACAGAAACGCGCAAAGACGTGCTCTGGGTTGCTGAAGTACTGGTTTACCCAGACACACGAGGCTCAGCCGATGCCGATATCCCAAGAACAACCCTTGATACGTCAGTCGATTCCTCTCGACCAGAGGATGTGTCAGACTTGGTCGACCACGCTTCGACTGATCAATTTCGAGTGACACTAGTTGGAGCTACAGCTGCTGGGAAGTCATCTTTATTGGGGACCTTGTCAACCTCTACTTTAGATAATGGACGGGGCAAAAGCCGGCTGTCGCTCCTTAAACATCGACATGAGATCGCCTCGGGGCTCACTAGTTCTGTTGCACATGAACTAGTAGGCTACTCGGAGAATCGACACTCTCAAGCTGCTGTTATCAACTATGCGTCAGGTAATGTTTCCTCTTGGCTAGACATCCACAACCTGGCTAAGCGTCTTGTCTTGCTCTCCGATTCGCCTGGCCTTCCAAAATTCTCGAAGTCTGCTTTCCGAAGTCTGATATCCTGGAGGCCTTCTTGGACCATTTTATGCGTCGCAGCTGATGGCAGTAGCGAGGCAACAAACCGAACGGCTGCAACGAGTTCTCAAGGATATAGTAATAGCGGAAACGCCGAGAGTTGGGACCTCTCACTCTCGTACCTGGCTTTGTGTTTGCGATTAAAGCTGCCATTGGTTGTGACCATCACGAAAATGGACATTGCGACCAAGGCAGGACTACGACTTGTTCTTGCAAAAATCCTCTCCGCTCTCAAGGCCGCCGGTAGGAAACCTGTCATGCTGAGCAGCGTGCCAGGCCCCCCGCCTGCTTCAGAACAAGGAGTCACTCTCCCAGGACTCCAAGTCATATACGAAAGGGATCAGGTGGAGGTTGAGCGCCTTGTTGAATCGATACGAAATGATGCCGAGCAGAGTACGGTCCCAATTCTAATGACTTCCGCTGTTACAGGGGTTGGAATAAGCAAATTGCACGCATTACTTCGAAGCATGCCCACCACGTGTAGGCCAAAGCAATCTCCCTGGCGTGGACATGCTACGAATCCTGCTCTTTTCCATATCGATGAGGTCTTCAGTATCCCTCCATCCCGCGTTTTCACCTTGGATACCGAAAATAGAATCGCAAAACAGGGGATAGTGCTTTGTGGACATCTCTCTTGCGGTATCCTGTCTGTTGGCGATACCATGCTTCTAGGGCCTTTCAATCTGGACTCCGACGGTTTATCCACCAATGCCTCTCAGTCCGCGTTGAGCGCCAGTTCCTATGCTGCTGGTGAGTCTTTATATACACAGGGGCTATCATCAAGTGTTCTCGCTCGCTCTTGTCAGGGAGAGACGCCACAGCACTCAGATCAAAGATACCAGACTTGGGCGACATTTCTCCAGGTCCGCATCGTGTCCCTTCGCACTTTACGGCTCCCAGTAATGCGTATGCACAATGGAGAAACAGGCACGATTGGCGTCGAACTCCTGAACGATGAGCACGCCACCATCGCGCTTAGCAGGGCTCGGAAGGGTATGGTTCTTGCCGATGTCACCCAGAATCTGGCGGGCTACCGTTCGTTCTCCGCAAGGTTCCCTACCTCAGACTTTGCACAGACAACTTCACCAGTCCTGATTTTAGGGGGGCATGCAATCGTGTACATCAACAGTATTCGTGCTGCTGTCAAAGTGACGGCAGTCGCGCTTGATGAGGACGAGCAGTTTAGCGCCAGGGCGGTTGCGACGTCTTCTCGGGATGACTCGGAGCTTTTTCACTTTGACATTGGCGATGATGATGGTGATAACGGTGCTGCTGTCGAGGTATGTGGAGATGGCGACGGCAACGGCGAAGGCAGCAAGCCCAACGAGGAGAGGAGAGAAATCAGGGTATCCTTCCGTTTTGTCAGTACGGTCGAGTGGATGGAAGTGGGCGACCAGGTCCTCGTTGTCCCTACCATGACTGCGACAGGGCCGGTGACGGGTCCAGCACCGGCTTCGAACCTGGGCGGTCTGGCTGGATTTATCGGAACAGTATGTGAGGTGTTTAGTTGATGATGAGCTACAAAGTCATATCAGAATACGTAGGGGAGAGCAAGATGACCATAGTCGAGATTATTGTCCCTCGTTTCATTTCAGTTTCGACTATATTTGTTGATTTTTACACCCTTCTCATGTGCCGGACGGGCACATCCAATTACAACCGGATCCAGCCATGCTATTTCAAAGTCTGGCTTGTATCGCTGCTTCAGGCGAAGCCGCCGCCGCCGAACCGAGAAAGATCCTCCTGTCCATCTCGATCTCCTTGGACCTGTCACTCGAGGTAATATTGCTCTCGGTCTGTAGTATCTTGACCTTGTCGGCGGGCAAGGCGTGCGTCCTGACCCAGCGCTTTGCGATTTCGGTCGCGATCTCGTCCCCGTCAACGGTGGCGTCGAACATGAGCAGGCAAGCGCACGCCACGGCCTCGATGTGGTCCAGAATGTCCCGGCCGCATCGCTGGAGAGACAGCGCGTCGCTTGAGCGGACCAGATCGCGGAGTATGTTGTAGCGGTTCGTGGTCATCTCGCATTCCGGGGCGAAGACGCCTGCTGTTCGTCGCTGGCGGCCATCGTGGGTGGCGCTTTGGACGGCATTCAGCACATTCCGCACCCAGTCCCCAAAGACGTCGTCGAGGATGTCCCTAGTCTGCGTCTTTGGGTTCTTTACTACCCGCAACACGTCCTCGGCCATGACGCTCGTCGTGCCCTCCCAGATGGTGTTCACCGAACAGTCGCGGAATAGACGGGCGATGTTCATGAGACCGCCATCTTCGTTGTTCTCGCAGTAACCCACCCCACCGAGCGACTCCATACAGGCTCTCAAGCCCAAGACGCCATTCAAGCTGACCTGCGCTTTCATCACGGGAGTGAGCAGACGGAGAAGCATCTCTTGTTTCTCCTTTGAGCGTGGGATGAGGACCGCTGCGCCACGGGTGTGTTGTGTCACAACCTCATAACCCTGTTCAGTAGCGCCCAAAAGTGCAATACCAAGGAAGACAAAGTGTGCGCTGGCGCGATATTTGACGCTTTCGTTGGCCATCCAGGCCAAATGCTGCGCGTTGTCCCGCAAAAGTTGGCCGCCTCTTACTTTTCGGACGAGCGTGTATGCACGACTCACTGCCAATCCCCTTGCCAAGCCACCTGCACTTCCACTTGCGGTGTGTAGTCGTGTGATATTCAAAATAGAGCTGATTTCCTTGATACCTTGGCCTTCCTGGCCGACGAGGTAGGCGCGCATTCCCTTGAGCTCGAGCTCGGCGGTTGGCACACCCTTTGTGCCAAGTTTATTTTTGAGGCGTTGGATCCGGACACCGTTTGTTTCCGATGCTGAAGATGACGGCCGACCTGTACTTCGGCGAAGAGGAGCATAAAATGCACTGAGCCCTTTGCTTGTCTGTGCCAGAAGAACGGCCATGTCGGCGTCAGTTGCAGAGGAGAACCATTTGAACCCGTCCACGATCCAAGGGCCGAGAGGGAGACCGTGTGCGTCTTTGTCCCGGTTGAGGTTGACATCATTTTGAATTTCTTGAGCAGTTATCCGGCGGGCGACGGTCTCGGTGCCCCGTACGTCACTTCCACCGCTGCGTTCGGTCATCCATTGGCCACTGGTCCAGGAGGTCGAAGGATCCAAAGAGACGAGACGACGATAGCTTTCACGGAACACGGCCCCGCGACCGGGTTGATCTCCATCCGGATCATCGAAATGTCGGCGTAACAGCACAGCCGCCCCGTCAGTCATGGCCATAGGGCAGGTGGTCACCGCGCACGAACCGTGCCAAAGGTGTAGGGTGCCGAATTGATGAACTCGTCGATTGAAGTCTTGCTTCAAGGTGGGCTGAGGATATCCGTTTCCCACCACGCCGGCGCGAGTTTGAATCTGCTTGAGAGCTCGCCATCCTTCACTTGTGCGGAGAGGAGATACTTTGTTCTCTTCGCCAAAGGTGGTCAATGGGTGGAGTGTTGGCAGATCAGTATCACAGTCGACCGTGTGTTGTAGGGTTGACGGCTCGAGGACAAGCCGTGCAAAGTCATGGAAATGGTTCTCGAGAGGGGTTGGCAGCGGGCTGGGAAGGTAGAGGGACAAAGCGCGTGAGAAAACTGGATCATCTGACGATTCGTGCGGCGAGGAGGCCGTATATTGCTGTGGTACAACGGGAAGAGCTTGGAAAAACCCAGAGGTTGACGATGAGGGCTTTCTCGACCCCATTGTCATGTTGAATGGAGAGTACTGAGTAGACGAGTGGACGGGTATTTGGGCGCAGTTGTTCGCAGAACCTGAGGTAGAAACGATAGAAGTCCCAGCTTTTCAAAAGAAGCCAGTAACAGTGGCGTCGAGAGAGGAGACGGAACTCTGTCCGCACTGAACAAAATACTTGTACGAGATGTGACAAGATCCACCTCCTTATTGTAGTTTATGCACCTAAGTAATATTGTAGTTACCACAGCATCTTATCCATTAGGTTTTCTTGTCGTCTGGAACGCGGACTCCGAACATGATGGATGGGGATTGGAGGAAGAGATTTGAACCTCGGCATCTTGGACATGTGCACGATGAGATTGTGGAGTGACAAGAACGACAAATCAAAAATCTCGGCTGTTCGGTGGTATCACAGAAGACTATTGCTTGACCGTAAGGTGGGTGGTTTCGGATCTATTCTTTCTTTCATAAGCCATGCTCTTGCAGACCTCACATTCATATGAGATGAAGTGAAAAGAATACGAGGCACATGTCTGCGATGATGGCATTATACTCTGCCGTACCGACTAACCCCGCACGTGGCCTTTTTGATGTACGGTAGATCATTCAGCGAATCTGCGCTGCACTCTGTCACTACCTCCGTGCCACCGTGGTGAGTTACCTGTCATCAGAGTGAACAAGTGGGACCAAAGAAGCTGCGTACAGTATCTACGGCAGCGGTTTGTCGTCTCTGGTATGTACAGGTCATGCCTATGACACCTGTCACAATCCTTGCATCTTCGGGGGCTGGAAACATTGCGGCTATGAGCTACGTTCCTACACACCCCAATTCATGCTACAACGAGGGGGTTTCCCTTGGAATAGCCCTGGCCCATTTGAGAACTGGTCTGCTCGGGCGGAAACTGAGTTGCCTTCTGTCTTGACGAGCATTTGAGCGGACAAAAAGAAGGGCGAAGAATGGTGCTGTTCGCATTAACGCGTCGCGTTCCACTACATGCAAGGAATGCCTGCCGTACCCGTGCCTCAACAATGGGACTGAAACAATAACAGGTAAGAATTTGGGCATGAACTTGATTTTCAAGCACTGTCTATTCGCTACATGAGGTTAAGTCTTTCTCGTCTACCCTGACTTTGCAATCCTCAGGTCTTACAATGGTCTCTTCACTGTGGCCTTCGAGAGGTTCAGAAAGAATATATGTTGGTCTTTTACTTGTCTGTCTCTTCTACATCTTGCTATCCAGTCCCATATTAAGACATGCCGAATCAATAGTCAAGCCTGCCTGGAGAACTCCTAGGATCAGCGCCATCGGCGATTCTTCTGACCTTGGGATTGATGAGACAGTCACAGGGGAGACAACATCTTCGAGCGATTTAGGCGACGATGTGGAGGAAAATACATCTGCTTCTTTCGGTGTGGACTTTAGAGAAGAGCAGGGCGAGTTGTTGTCGGTCCCTACAGTCGCAGATTTGAATGAGTCAAGAATGGGCATGGTTGGACCATACATCTCCGCCATAATGGACCCAAAGGATACTCATTTCGACCGGCTACAATGTCCACGGCCTATCAAGGAAAGATACAAAATGTTGCGGCCAAAAGAGAGCCTCCCTTTCAATGTCCAGCAACCACGGAAGCGCTACTTTTTCGCACTCAATCTGTACGAATGCGCATATGTGCTTCCGCGGCTTCTCGGCTCGATCATCGAAGCAATGCGATTTCTTGGGCCCGAAGATTGCGTTCTTTCTATTGTCGGTGGGCGCTCCGACGATGGTACAACAGAGATCCTGGCCGCACTGCAGGATGCGATCGAGGCTTTGAATGTGACTTACTATTTCCGGACAAGCGACATCGACCCCCTGAAGGGTGGAAATGACCGAGTGACGGAGCTGGCTAAGCTTCGCAACCTGGCATTGGCTCCGCTCACCACTCAACGGGACAAGTATGCAAGGGATAGCGCTATTATTTTCCTGAACGACGTGTCAATCTGCACCGATGACATCCTGGAACTCATTTATCAGAGACGCCATCAGCGAGCGGATATGGTTTGTGCTATGGATTGGAACAACAATGGAGACACCTTCTATGACTCTTGGATAGGGCGCAGCATGAATGGCGACATGTTTGTGGAGGTTCCTCAAAGTGGATCCTTTGAATTCTCTCACAACCTATTCTGGAATGACAGGACGGCGAGGTCTCACATTGACGAAAAGCTCCCCCTTCAAGTATTTGCCTGCTGGAACGGAGCCGTCGTCTTCAAGGCAGAGCCCTTACTGTCGCACAGCATCAAATTCCGGGCTGCTTACAAGGACGAGTGCTATACCGGCGAGCCGACATTATTCTGCAAAGACCTGTGGACTTTGGGGTACGGTCGAATCGCCATCATTCCCAGTGTCAATGTCGGCTACAACGACGAGCAATCGCGAAACACAAAGTCAAAGCACGGATACGCTTCTGCCAATATTCAGCAGGCAGAACATGATATGGGGTTGTCAACTGAAATCGAATGGAAGACTTCGCCTCCTCAGCTAGTCAAATGCCAGCCTGACTGGACACATTCTTCGTGGGCGCCGTGGGATGATGCAGTCGGGGAGCATGTCCCCTTTGACTGGTCACGGTCTGGGTATTTCAATGCCAAAAAGCCCTTTGATAAGGAACTTGAGTTTGAGAGCGACGGGAAAGAATACGGTGTAGACGCCCGAGGTTAGAACAATGGATACGGCGGCGACAGTCAAGGACGACTTGTTGGGTGTTACACAAAGATTGAAGAAACAGGCTTCAACTTGTGCCTTATTCATTCTCAGCTGTAGAGTTTAGGATG